GATGAGAAGTGGGGGAGAGCCCTCAGTTCCCTCATGCAATTGCTGAGATCTGGTCAAGATAACTTAGAGTGCTTCTCTTTTGTACAGGTATTCACAATAAGCTACACGAATTGCTCGGTTGTATCTCTGAAGGGCGACTGTGGGGCGCATCCCTGGAACCCCACAGCTGAGTATAGCGAGCTGGCAAGCAATAACTATCATGCTGAACAAACCTACCAGAGTAACAAAGGTTAAGGAAATAAGTTCTCTCAGTTTATTCTCTCTCTCTGATAATTGTTCTCTTTGAACCCCAGTAGAACACGCACTGCGGCCTTTGGGGCTGGGAGAGGAGACGGCGTAGCCTGGTGCAATAGCTTCTGCACCAAGGCACAAGCCAGCCTCTCCTATAACCATACCAATGGTCACTCCATAAAGAATGCTTAATGCTTTCACCAATTTTATATTCAAAGTACATCAATAAGAACTCACAGACACTTTCACTCTTCATAGAAGCCTCACTCATTTCACAACGAGTACGCCATTGCTGCAGCTATTGTTGGAAGTATTCACTACAGTCTGGCTTAGCAGCATAAGTCTGCTGGCACAAAGTGCCAGCTCCACGTTCGAGGCTCGGTAACGTGGTCCCTTCACTAGAAGAGAGCGCACCAGTAAGGTCGAGTGCCGTTTAGCTCGAGGATGAGCCCCCCGCTCTAATGGGCAGTGCGCAGTTACAGCGAAAGGAAACGTTGCTAGAATGGCGCGCGAGAGGACGATCAGCTTCAAGGTAGGCTGTAGCTGACCGGCGCGACAGAATTGTGAATGTGTACGCCAATTAGTATGCAATCTGCCTCATACATGCAAGGAGCAAACAATCTTAAATGCCAAGACCCGGAAGTGCGGAGACCCTCACTGGAAGCTATATCACACTGTCGCTTCGATATTTCGGAAGCCATTGATCTAACTTCACGGACTTGGACTTTACGTAAAGAAAGCCGTTTAATCGCCTTCTTTTCAGGCAGTGAATGGTTCAAAAAGCTGGAGAAAAGAGAAACGAACATGTATAAAGCACAAAACTGAATCCCTGCATTCTAGCAGTGAATTCTCAAATTGGCGTTTGACCTGCACGGTGGTAAATGTCTATCGCCACGTCCATCTGCATTAGCCCGCAAGGGACACAACCAAACTGAGCTTTGCCCCGCCGTTATGGCGGTAAAAGCGGGCTACTGTAGTTTAATCAACCCCATTACGCATCCTGGAGCACGTAGCGCACGTCTCCCCCGAACGTTCAAGATTGATTACAGCCCAACACAGCCGTTGCTAGGTACACACACTTTGTTTAGCGAAGTGTACTGCTATGGAGAGCCGAGCTGTCGGTAGGAGTATATGGATAGACGTGCAGGTTTAGGTTTTCCCTAAAGGTATGCTCCAAGTCATGTGCAGATTCTTGTTCATACAACAAACAGAATATCCAACAACACACAGCACTGAGGACGTCTGAATCGCAGTTTAAGGACAGGAGTTTCACAAGCCCTCACAAATAGGGGATCTGAAATTCCTGCGGCAGCGTGTTGTTAATTCCACTTAGGAGCTCCAGTTGTTCGCACCTAGCGAGGCCCCAGATATTCGTAAGAACCTTGCTGTCCCTTCTAAGAGCTTCTGCTCTATCAACGCATTCCTCAAGGGCGAGCTCGTGAGTCTCCTTTTCTACTGAAGGTTCCAGAGCATTCATCCCGGTTGATTCGCGCCTGTTTTCGCCTCCCTGCAACACGGGCTCAGACGCCGGCACCTTCATGGCAATGAGCCTTCACCGACAAGAAAAGGTAGCTACTGGCAGTTTTTGCCTTCCTAAGGGTTCCGGAGACAGAAGAAAATACCTGCTCATCGAGATTGCCGGGGGAAGCTTGAATTGACCTTTGGTGCGCACCGGGTGGCCAAATTGTCCCTGCTGCCACAGAGGACAGCTCGGAGAGGTTGAAGCGGAGCGGGGGAATTTCCGCAAAAGGCGGCAGTATATTATTTTCAGCATGGTTTGCCTTCGCCTGACTTGCTGCCTGAAACATGCAGTACCCTCACCCTATTTTTCAAGTGAGCAGGCCCTATATATTAAGATTAACACTAAATGAAACACAGGGGATTGTAAGGCATAGTATTGCAGAAAGCATGCTGTGCAGGGACAGTGTGGCCGATGGGGCAGAAGGAAATAGCCGCTGGTAATGTGGTCAACTGCAGAGCTGAGAGGCTGCCGCACAGCCATCACCATTAGCTGCGCGACAACTATATAGTTTACTCTCAGCCACCTCCAGTGCTTACCTGAAGGAATGTATACGCGAAGTCCGTCTCCACAATAGGGGGCAATTGCATACAGGCGCTTGAGTAGGGCGCCACCGACGCAACAAAACGCCAAGCTAATTTGGCCAGGCCATTCGGGTCCTCCGGCGGAAAAAGGGCAACATTATTTAAAGTTTCATTCATTCCTTGGCAGCTCGACTTCATGGTCGCCGAGGCTTTACCGTCATCTGAAGCCTGGTTAGAAGTTGGCATGCTTCTCACCCAGGACTTATCATCGATTAGTGGTGGAGTTGCCTCTAGGAGAGACTGGAGGAGATCCGTGTCCGTGACTTCTAAACCTCCAGTGCAGGTTACTACGTCTTCTTCCTTGAGACGAAAAATATCAACGTCGCGTTTGGATAATGGTGACATTGGTGCATTATGCTGCATACAGGTAAACAACTCCGCGACATTAAGATTCTCCTTCCCCCAGAATTCTGGTCCCGGTATGTTTAGCCACTCCCACTCTCCGTTGCCGTCCGCAGATAACACCAACCGCGGAGGAACAAGCTTTACTCTCCACCTGCTCTCATCACCAAAGATGCGTGAATCTTGTCCATGTACGCCTGCAGGAATTTCTACAGATTTCCAGGTCGTTGAGGCTTCTGCTCCGCCTAATGACGGAGGCGCGACATTACCTTGATACTTGGACACGCCATTTATAGACTTTTCGCATTGCTGTGCTGTGTCAACATGAGTTGAAACTGCCTGCGGAGATCGCTTTTCCAGATGTTTTTCTTGCCTATGTTGAGAGGAGCTTAGGCATTTGGACTGGTTGTTTTGGTTGTATTTATCCTGAAGTTGTCCCTGCTCCGTTTCTTCCCTCAAACTGTGGGAGCGTATCCACGAGCGTATTGCCTCTAAACGCTTCACCATCCTTGTACGAAGAACGACTGCTGCTGCGGCTTGTTGAAACCGAATGGTGAGTTCACTCCTCCACTGCTGTCGTAGCGTTGTCCCTTTGTCTTGTGAGCTAGAGGTAAAGTCTGGAGTGTTCTGAGTCGTTATTCGAGACGGAGCAACAGGGGCGCCTGCAAATGTACAGCTGAAGCGGTTTCTATCCTGAACTTGCAGAAGTCGTAGCATCCGTTGGACCTCTTCTGCTCTCTTAAGCTGGATTTTCTGAACAGCGCCATCAGATGGCAGGGTACCGCCCTTCACCGTTTGCGTTCCTAGCTTCTGCGCTCTTAGAACAGCCACCAAATCAGCCCACCGTTCGTCCAAGTGCTGTTTGGAAATAGTACTGTCGCCGTACTTGCTGCTATCAAGGCGTTTAGCAACATTTGTCGCAGTAACAACGTTGTTTGCCCCCCTGGCAGCAGATTCGCGCCTGTTCGACGGAAGCTTTGGCCGGTGAGGGATGGGTGGGTGCCTTGTCCTATTCTCTGTCAAGTTAAGGCTGCATTCATTCGCCGGCAACTCCTCGCACGTCTCTAGGTTCAGTTGATCCCCTTCATTGTTCACATTTAACGAACAATCTGTGCACTCTCCAAGCTGTTGAGCAGAATTGATTTGTTTGGCCTGCTTAGCTGTGGAGCAGTCGTTCTCGCATCCTGTCGAGGGATCCAACTGTGGACGGCTCTCTAGGGCCTCGCAGCTTCTACAAGTCTGTCCCTCAATCTGTAAGGGTACACCGTTGCCTATAAGTGTAACCTGATGGGGATTTGAGTTGGGCCCGAGAAATACCAGTAAATTTTCTGTATATTCGGCATAAAGGCGAGGGGCAAACTGGAGCCAAAGACTCACATGATCCCGAGGGCCGATGATGCCTTTTAACGGCTTCACGGAAAACGCATTAGTCTTTTTTGTTAGTTCTACTGTAAACTCTACAGGTGTCCATAGAGCTGCAGGTAGGACGAGACGCCGTTGTTTCAGCGCCCCCACCTTAGTGGAGCCAAAGTCTAAACAGGTTATCATTGAGAATGGCAGAAATTCTTCGTATTTTTGCCACTCATGCTTTCCGTTGGACTCAATGATGGGTGTTGCAACGAGATTTTCTTCTTTGACTCTGCAACGCACTACCGCCCGTAGATGAATGCGCTTCAGAAAAAGCGATTCCTGGGATCGACTGCCTTTTCCACGCTCTTTCCTGTTACAAGCACTTGTCATATCTTCTAATGAATGAGCGGAAACGACAACTTTAATGAAGTCTGATTGGGGAGCGCACACATCAGGGGAGAAAGAAATTTGCACTCGTTGCTGCATTCCCGCAGACAGGAAGAGTTTTTTTTGTGGACACGATACAGAAAATGCCTTCGATGTGGGGGGAAGCACAACAAATGAAACAGTATAGTTACTGACGTTTTGCAATACAACTTCTTGTCGCAACGGCGTCACAGCTTGCAACGAGGAAGGGTCACTGCCGTCGAGTTGAAACTCCAGCCACTCAGGAGTGGCCCGCAGTATACAATTGCTATCTTCAAGCGAGAACGCCAGGGATAATTCTTCCTGATTACGAGTTGCATCGTTGGCATCCCCTTTATACAGTTTACCGGTTGCCTCTGTAACAGGTATAGGCTGCTGGCGGTTGAAACGTTGGACTTCTCTCGTGCCAGCGGATAACGTATCAGATATGGGTGGATATGGTTTGTTGATATGCGAGCGAGCATTGTCCCTGATCTGCAACGAAGACTTTCGGAGAATTCTGAACTTAGTAGGATTTTCATCCCCTGGGATATGCGGGGGTGCGTCGGAGTCTGAGCTTGAGGTGGCCATTGGGCTACTTCCCCACTTCTTGCACACACCGTATATCACAACTTAGTCTCGTGCGCAGAATACTGCTTGTACTGGAGTCTTCATGATAAACCTGAATTAAACGTGAGGAAACTGTTTGAACGATTTTTCGATTATCCTATTGAACACTTGGTTAAAAAAGACATAATGGGGGGAAAGTGCTTTCCCAAGGCTCCAGGCAACGCACACCTTCCTTTGTAGCTTTCTGTTCGCCACACTCTCTCCGTACTGTAATGCAAACGAAAAATTTAAAAGTCGTTCAAACAGATATTACCAAGTTTGTAAATCGGGTGCCGTCACGAAGGTGTGCATTTGGATGCCAGCCCCATTTACTCCCACCTCGACAGTAGTCGTGTCGCTAGTTCCGCAGAAGTGTGGTGAGGTATAAAACCTAAACTGAGCTCCAACGCAAAAACGCACCATACCAGATTATGTAGTATATTTTTAGTGCGAATTCCAACGTTTACAGCACGAAGTGCAGATACAGTTCACTGTGAACAACTGCTTGCCACCGGTGAACTGTATGGAGAACGTACACTAAACGAGTACGGCAACTTACATTGGGGGCTAGATTTCTCTGTGCAGCAAATGATGCTTTTTTCTGCTATTGCATGTGACGTATATAAATGCAATAATGCACAGTCGTACACAGAGAGCGACTTTATCGGCTAGAAATGCACAACTTAGCCAAAGCGTACGGTTAACGGCTAATCAGGGAATGCCCACTTTTCCAAAACGGCGAATGGGAGGAAGCACGCTGACCGGTGTCTGTCGACAGACAGATGCAATTTTCTATAAATATTGCACCTCCGTGCACCTCAGCGGTTTTTGGGGCTCTTTATGCCCATATGAAAAACATGTTGTGATGCAACGCTGGGTTGAAGTGGTTACACCGTTTGCTGTTGTGCATTGAAATATGGCTTCTGCACGCAGAGTTAAGGAGTTCCCACAGCTCGATATGGAGGTAGACGTTAAAAAGATGTTCGATACGCGATGCTGGATCTCTAGGTTCTGGTATGCCATATCATAGCACTGGCCAATAGGGCACAGGGCCTTCCCGGGAATACGGGTGCAGAAGCAACATAACATGTAGGGACCATAAATATCGAAGTGGCCGAAGGCAGCAATTAAAGATGGGGCAAATGCCAGGCAGAGTTTAGATTAGAAAACGGATTATGACCTCTTTATTTTCGACCCAACCCTTCACCCAAAGGGTATGTCAGCTCGCTTCTCAATCACCGACTGCGTCTATTTTTGCGTGTGTTGTAGCGTGCAGAATAGTAGAGAGTGCCCGAATCATGCTCACCCTGTGGTAATTCGCATGAGAAGCATAAACAAAAGTATAAACTCAACCGTGTTGAGGACAAAAACCCTTATGTGAATTTTATCTGGGTACGTTGCTGCAGTGAAGCAAATCCTTTTCTGGAAGTATTATTTTTGCTCACCACATATCTCTTGACGTTTCTTCAGTAGACGAACGGCGTGACTAGGAAGTCCGGATGAATCTACAAACAGCATCCTGCAGCAGTCGTCTAATTTGTCTTCACCTTCCCAATATTGTCTGGCCAGTGTAAAGCAGCGCTAGTGAAGATGATTCAAGATGAAACCGCGAGGAGACCCCCTATAAATCTCACTCTTTTTCCAGTGTTGGCCCCCGTTTACGTTGAAAGGCTTTTCCCTCTGAAGACCGACGTTTGTGACACCGCACATCGGGTGGGGCTCGCATATAAAGTTAAAGACCCAAACTAACACGAACCGTCAGACCGCTTCACGGAACGATTGCAAAAGTATGGAGTACGTGAGGACGTCAATGCGGTCTCCAAGGGAGTATCGAACTCTTCACAGTATTTACATTGAAGGTACTCTACTGTTCAAAACAATCAACAACCCCTGCGGAGCCGGGCGAAGCGTTTTCAAGGCTTTGACAATGAAAATGTTGTTCGGTGGTCCAACCAGCCCAAGCAGTGTGACTTCAAATCCATTTGGTTCAAGAGCATTACCCACGCGGTCAATGAGCACAAATACTTGTGACGATTGTTCCTAAAGAACAACTGAGACCCCTTCCTGCGTTCAAGCGTTCGAAGCGCAGCCGCGCAAAGCCCACCGCCGGTGGGGAGAGGAGAGGGCCTGTAGTGCCGCGTTCTCAGTGGTGGTTAGCGTAACCTTTAAGTTGGGGAGTTAAGGGCTACTGGCTACTGTTTTTTCAATATATCTAGGAGTAGTTTAGCTTGTAAGGTGGTACGTGAGAAGATAGGAGGGAGCTCACTACAATAAAATGTATCAATAAAGCAGTAGGTAATTATCCGAATAGCACATTGATGCATGGACATTTAAATAGCATTTGAGGAAGTAGAGTTCAGCCGATTGAATGGTGCAAGGATAGCAGTCGAGAAAGCGTATTTCAGCTGGGAATATTTTGAGTGGAGACACGGGATAGCTAGCTGTACACAGCCGTCCGGCGGAACATGGAGACGATCCTGGACAGTTCTCGTCGTGGTTAGAGCCGCCTATGGTAAAATGACAAGGCAGAACTAGTTTTGAAACAGGACGTAGAGCTCTCTTTTGTTCCACAACTTGCGTTTTCTTCGATATCGTGGTAGTTTCCTTTAACATATCTTGGTCACGGTTTCGACCTAGATACTGCGGACCCTTCAGGCCTCGAGTTCAGTCCCTTACATCCCTGCCCTTGCGACTAGAAAGCAGATTTCGTTAAATCTAATCACTGAGAAGTATGAACTGTTCCAGCTTAGACCTTTAGGAATGCATTTTCAATGTACCTTGAAATCCCGTACCCACGAGGTGCAGCACTGCGTGCTCCACCATCTGTCGAAAGGCAAACCCAGATGTGCGCGGACCCAAGCAACATTTTTTCTACTTATATATGCAATGGTTAAGCACTTAGTTAACCCTTTATTCACCTGTATGCAAGTAAAAGGATGTCAAATTTCTCACAGACGTTCAGTGTCCGCAGCCTTCAACTGCTGACACATCAAACAAGTAGGCCCATAGATTAGCGCGAACGTCTGTAAGAAGAAGGACTGGGTCCCATAATTGACGCAGTCTACATTTTCTTTAGAAGGACGCCGTGTCGGCGTCTCTGCTCGAGTGCCTAAATCTTCCCCCCCCCTTCCCCCCCGTTGTTGAGCTTCGTTAAGATCTCCGTAAAGCAGTGCCGAAGGGGAAATTTAAGCACCACAAACAAGCACACCTACAATGCGTACGACCGTGAACGTTTCTCTGTTAGGCGTAATACTTAGCTCGTTGCTGAAAAATCAAATGTTCATCTTCCACAAAAAGCCGTCGGATCAATATGGTGGACTGCTACAAGCCTACCAATCAGTTAAAGTTAAATATCTTTAAAACGTTTCCCATAGAAAATAGACGTTTAGATGGCAGTTTACAACGAGTTCATATTAGCAATGGCTAATAACATAGCTTCTGAAAAGCACATCTGTTTTAAAATGATAAAAGTCTCTAAAAGCAGTCTTCGGCACAATCTACGTCCTTTCAAATTGAATAATTATCTGAAGGATAATACAGATTCTGTCTATATATGTTGGACTGTGGAGGCGAGGTGGGGATAGTAGACAGCTGGATAATATCTTGCAAAGTAGTAATTTGAAATAGAGAAAGTACTCAAGTACATTTTTGTGCTTCACTTAATCATTGCTCTCTCTAGGCGAACCGTTAAATATCTGTGCCCTTACAGGTTTGGACAAGGCAACAATACTTCGAAGTGTAACGGAGCGTCTGCATCCTCGACAACACTGTGGTAGCACCGAAACTGCCAATTCAAGACGAAGCGTAAATAGAGATGTGCCTCATGAATACCCTTAAATGGTTTTGAAGGACTGGGATGTCGTTCTTCTCCGTACAAATTAACTATGCGTCCAGTGGTGTGCACCGGGCTTCCAGCCCCAAAGTGAAGCGCATGCATCTGGTGTGCAGTCCCGTGGCACACTTTGATATATATGGCGAGACCGGATTCTGAGTGGTTAACCGGAGGCGTCACCGGTGTTCAACAGATAAATGCATATCAGTTGTCTCTTGCCCTTTTGAATAAGTGAAGGACAGGCGCACTCGCACGTTTGTGATAAAAAGGCCTGAAGTTCAGTGCTGCATGGATCAGAGCATTCTCTCTTGTCCTCAGTTAGCCTTCCCACCGGCGAGTAAGCAACGATGAAAGGACGCCTGCGCCTAGACTCAGGAAAATAAAGGAGATGCGGAGGTAACCAGGGTGAATGATTTGATGCAAAGCGCCATAATCCACAAAACAGTGTTGCTGTGTAGTGGCCCAACAGCCCTACGGAGGAGTGGTTTGCCCTTCTCCACGAAGAGAAGCAAGAGCATATCAAAGAAAAGCGCGATTTGCATCATGCCCGCAGAGCTAATAACTTATTGACCGAGATACTGTCACAATAAGCATCTTTGTACTCTCGAAGTGTTTCGTACTTAAAGGAGTCTGATATGCCCATAACTTGAGTGAGATCCAGTAGGGACAGTGTAGATTTCGGCAGGAAATTTACATGCAGATGCCTCAAGATCTCCTGAAAACCTACAATGGTGGCCATACGGCAGTGCTTGCCAGAAATGGTTTACATCATTTTGCCGGTTCCGGAGAACGGGGTCCGCCCTGTGATTCTCGCCGAGGGCAATCACAGAACCAAAAGCATGAAAATGCGAGGCTTGGGTTTTTTGAATGCCACGTTTGCCTCTTACCCAAGAAGGTGATGAGAGATCCTGATACTTCGCAGGCCACCCAATCCCCTGAAGGGTCGGAGCTGGCTTCAGACACTGGGTCGTACCGTCTCTGCTCCGGCAAGGTTCCCCCCTACCTCCAAGGCAGGAATTCATATAAAGATTTCCTTGCTGAGAAGAAACCAACGTTCCTTCTACTTCTGCCGCCTAACTGTAGGGGAATGGAGAACGTCTCGCACACATCGGACGTCGGACAAAGGTTCTGGAGAGTTACATCGGTCATT